CCCCCCAAAAAAAAAAAAGGAAAACCTCACATTTTATAAGAACTGTGAAGCCGATTCAGGGAAACAGGGACCATAGAACATTGAGGCAAATTAGAAATCGCAAGTCACAGGCACACACCCCTCCTGGATTTTCTGCCCTGCCTCCATTTTCTTTTCCCCATTAGATGAATCAGAAAGCAGAACTCTCCACATTGTACTCTTACATGTGCCACTGATTACACAAGACATCCATTACAAGTAAAAATTCTGTAGTCTGTTCAGAACTGTCCAGGTGGTAACTCAATCAACTGTCCAAGGCCCAGTTTATGAAACAGAATCGGAGACAGTACACCTCATGCAAATTAAAAAGTGTAAGTTCAGTAGGTACTGAATCTCCCACAATGTGCTATGTGTATCACTTAACTATACTCACTCCATTTGTGCCCCTCTGAGCAGACAGTTACCCTACACTCTTCAGCAGAAGCTTAACCTCAGTGCCGAGTACCAACTTAGAACATACTTGGAGGTCCTGCTTTAGTTTACAGTTGGTCCATCTGTGTCACGCCACCCTCTCCACTTAAAGGAAAACCAAGAGAGATCAGCAGCTTAACAGGACTATTGACCACGATGTGAAATTTACACAAAGTTGGCAGGCACAGTCATCTACAAGTTAATCACAATTATCACCTTTTCTTAAACACAGAAAGCAAGAAAGTTGGTCAGTATGCTTAAACTCATCAGTTGCTGCTGCAGCTGCACAAAAATAGCTGTATACTCATGATAATGCTTTTTTTTTTTCTTTTTTAAGATGAGGTAACAAAGCAGACATGCAGAGTTCACACACACACACAAAAACCCGCAGTTCTCAGGAAGCCCTTTATTAAGTCAAGGCATTAAAGGAGAAACTACTATTATTCACCATGCTTCTCATCTTGAGGTGGTTCATACTGAGCCAGCTGTGGATTTAAAAAGAGGAATTTAGTTAGCTGCAACATTTATGAAACACTGTCTACATTAAAAACTGTAGGCAAACATTTGGTCTGGAAGCGTTCCATTTACTTTGTCCATTTTAATCCATCACTGATAGTTATGCAATTCCATTTTCAAGTCAGGCAACAAAGTAACCCTTCCCTCAGATCATCCATTTGTCACGATGTATAATCATGCAGCTGTAATAAGGGGGCTTTTTAAGTGCACTTCCAAGCGTATAGGTCTTGCCCTTAATTTTTCCCTGTTTCTTGTTCTAGGTCTCATTAAGCACTTCTCATCTCAAATAGCAACTGATAATGATCAGTGCCTTATAAGCTTTCATTTCACCAACACATGATTAAATGAATCAGTCATTCTCATAGCAACAGTACCCAAACATTTTCTTTAGCATTCTAGCTTTCATTATGCTTTCTGGAGAGTATTGCCTAGGCAACTATGCACTAAACTATGACCTTTACTTGTAAAGTTATTTAAAAAAAAAAAAAAAAAAAGGCATTTAACTTGACCTAGATAACATTAAAGACAAGCTCAAGCACTAGGACTGAGTCTCTGAAATACGCCAGTCCAGTTTCCACAATTAAGATTCTTCCCCTCTCCTGAAAATTGCAGAGTAGGTTAAAAATAAAGTACATAAAAAATACCCATGTGCTTCTCATAGCAACACTGAATTACAGCAATTACAATGCCGCTAGCAAGAACTAAAGCAACATTTTGGCATTCTTGTAGATCTTACCATAAAACATGGCCAGTACACAGCCCAAAGTCAGTTTTCTTTTCCATAAAGGGCCTAACTACTGACTTCCTGCCCTCCACCCCACCGAAATACGTGACATTCTGACCAATAAATGTAAGAAAAAAACAGATCTTCACAGATAAATGCAACAAAACACCACCACCTATTTGGACATGATTCAAGTTACCAATAAATGCACAATTAAAGCCATGTACTTCATGCTAGAGGACTGCTAAAAAAAAAAAAAAGCTGAATGGTAGTATTCTCCCAGCATTCTGCCCCTGTGAACTCCTAAGGTATGTCAGAATGACAGTCAGAAGATGGTAGGAGAAAGCAAGGGGAAAAACCCAAAAACATTAATATCGGAAAACACATAAAGTAAGAGTTATCATTTGAAGGCTGAAGAAGGTGAAAGCACAAACCAACCCACGATTATGAAAAGGCTTACTGTCCTGCAACAAGTTTTGACTTCTTTAAAATATTTCTTAAAATAAAGACCCAAGTTACTCTGCTTTCATGTGTCTACTTACTATCAGTTGCATTTTTAAGTTGGCTACACCAAGTGAACTGCTGGTCTATTGCTACTCCCCCTAAAATTCTGCTCTTTTCCATATTTCCTAGTAAGAAATAACAAATGTAGCTGTAAGGACTCACAGCGGGTAACAGATGAGAAGGAGAATTACTAGGACAGCAAGAGGGCACTCCAGACAAAAAATACAAAGGGCTAATGCCCAAGAATCCCTTCTCCCAGAACTAAGGTGGGGTGGTTGTCTCCCAGTAAAAAGCCATAAGGATGTTCACATATAACAAAAGCCATCCTCTTCCAACAAATGCATGAAAATCTGTAGTAGCACCTACGCTACCAGCTTATTAATGTTCTCAAAGGTTTCCTTCTTCAGTGTTGTTAGGTTTACAGTCAGTGCCCTCTGGTAAGGGGAAGTTGTTCACATCTCAGAGCTGTTTCAGACAGCCTGTAAAGACTCTGCCTTGGCTAGCACTTCAGATCCACTGTTGTTGCAGACAGAGAAATACCAGTGTCATTTTAGATGAAAAGTGCAAATTACTGTTCCACACGGATGAGTGCCTCCACTTGTAACATCCTGCCACATGGAACTCTGTGCCAGGTCACACAAACCGATATATAATACGCCTCCTTCAGTTCACCTTTTGAATGCCTTCATAACAGATAAATTCGCTTTTTCCTTTTTCAAAACTCTTCTGGAAGCATGAGCTACATCATATCAGACAACTTAATCACATCCAAACAGGACTGAATGAAGACACAGGATTAGCCTCGATAACATATACTTTCACTAAATAAATAAATTCCCCAGTTTAGCAATACTATTCTATGTTACAGAATATAAGAAGTGTCTCAAAAAATCTTTACTACGATGAATTCTATCAGCATTCCTCAGCCACGAAGCTAAACAATGCAACAACACTTATCAGTTACGCTAATGGAAGAAAGTCAGCTGTATTCTACGCATTATTTTTCTTGTTGTGCAATATAGAACTACTGAGGAACACCAAGTAGACTTTTACCTTGGTTTTCAGCTTTTTATTTTCTTCCAACACAGCTTCGTACTTTTCTTTCATCTCTGCCACTTCCAAACGAAGTGCCTCTATTTCTGGATTCTCAGGAGCTGAAGCTCCCAGATGATGCTTCAGAAAGCTGATTTTTAGACGTTAAGTATTTCCTCAGTTAGATAGCAAAACCACATTTTAGTTTTAACACTGATGAAGTGAGTGCCGCAATACACATAACCAAAATCGCATTAAACCACTTTAAATTGTTACAGTGCTTTTCATCCTATAAGATGAAGTTACAAAAATAAGGCAGCTTTTCAAGGTTATTTGTATATTCCTTAAAGAAAAAAGAAAACAAGACAAAGGACAAGACACAGGACAAATTCTTATATTTCACTACACCCTCCTCCTCTTTTTCTCTCTTAAAAGCAGGAGTTTTGAAGAGTTAAAAGGAATAACCGAAAAATAGAAGCAATAGCTAAAAACAGAGGCTGCTTGGAAACAGCAAGAAACAAAAGACATAAACTTTTCCCTCTTGTATTATTAAGAAAAAAAAAGAGGAAGTGTGAAGAAGCTGAGTTTAGAAGCCACAGATAAGTACTCAAACCTAATGCTGCAGGTGCATGACGTTCTGTACTGACCCATAACTTGACCTTGTAACTGCTGGCATACCAATACGCACAGTTCTCTTCCATCCTGTCAGACTATTAGCTAAAATGCATCCATAAAAGCCATGTTCTCAATGTAAGTCGTCAAAGTAGCCTCTCCAGTTCACCTATGAGTCAGAAGTGGTACTGCTGTTTCATGTCAAGTCTCTATGAACAACTCACAGAAGAGAAAAAGGATACTCCAGTGCACTATTTGGTTTCTCTGGCTCTTCATATAAGGCTACCAACACTGCAAATAGAAAATAATCAACAATTGCAAGAAGTTCATGCAACTCTAAGTTTTTAAAACATGTACCTACAGTCAGAAGGCATACAAGTTGCATGCCACGTTTATAACACATTTTTCTGTTTAACAATATTTTCACCGACATACTTCAACAGAAAGAACAGGTCTGCTGTACAGGAGGGAACAGAGCATGCCACTAAGTAACAGCTAGACAGAAGTTTTGTTGATTCTCTAACCACTGTCTTCGGCTATTCTAACAATGAACACAAAACTGCCTGGACAATTTTTACATATTCCACACACAACCCTAGTATTTGCTTTCATCAGCATAATTGAAATTCTAACTATTTTGAGACTCCCCCTTCATAGACCATTACTTCCACTTAAGCTACATCTTTGAACTGCAGAACAATATCAGCACTTCTGTAGCTTTCAGCACAAAAGCAAATCTCCATTGAACACCTACAGTTACAAAACTAATTGGCTACCATCAGCACAGTTGACACTGATAATCATTATGGATGGGGGCTCTAGGGGCCAGACAGTTCAGGCACAGGCAGCAGCACGCTGACAGCTTAAATAAAACTAGCCATACACATTCCCGCACCACATCTGGAGAACTCGGTCAAACGAATACTCAGAAAGTTCCCCAACATAACCACTACCCCCTCCTCACAGAGGCACACATGGCTATAGAAAACATCTGCTGTCATAAACACTTAGATGCCCTTCTCCTACTTTCAAGTGTCCAAACTGCACAGCAAAGCCAGTTTAAAGCTAAGCACCTAAGTTAAAAACAAAATTAAGATGCCATGCTGCTTGGAAGACTTGTTTTGCCACCTCACAGTATTATGTTCAGTATTGCAACAGAAAGAAATCAAACGGTACCCACACACCAGGCCAAGAGGCTTAGCACAGCACCTATTTGCTTCATATCCTAGATCTGCTGCTCCCTTTTTAAACAGGACATTTTCCAAACAGGAATATTAACAGGTTTTCTCTATGTACTGTCAGAAGGCTCTCAAAAAGATTTCAGAAGGATTTAAAAGATGCTAGGCCATACAGAAAGTCAAAGCATGCATCAAGTTTAGCATCATCAGCTTCCCCATTTCACTATAAATAGCCACTCTCACAAAACTTAGAGGTTCATTAGTTTCAGGAGAAGCACCAAGCTCTACTAAAGAAAGGGTCTTCTTAAATACAGTCTTTTTAAGAGCATATTTGCTGTTATTTTGTGTCAAGCATTTACCTTCTCTGGAGAGCTCTGGCAGAATAACAGCCCCCAAGAAATTCAGCTCTTCCCAAAAGCAAACAGAGCCAAGGAAGAGAGGTCTCCAACGCACCATGTAAGAGGAAAGGAACCACCTTCCCCTTCCTTACATGCCTCTACCATTCCTGTTCCGCACACGTCTCTAACAATCGATCCACGCACAACGAACGTGCAAACTGCCAGAAAGGAGTCAAGGCATTGCAGTTCACAGGCCACGCTTCCAAAGAGGTCCCCTTCCCTCCCTCAGCGCACACTGCCTCACTGGCCAGCTCGGACTCGATATCGACTGCCGCACCAAGTTTTACGCGCGAGCTCTGCTGCCGGCCACCAGGCAGACTGAGAAGAGCGAGCGACCGGCTC